TGTGGCCAGGAGGAGGTGCTGCTGTGCGCTCTCCTGTCCTCATTGTTCATGTGCTGGTTTCTAAGATCTGCAATAATTTGCTGCATCAGGTTCATGTTTTTACCTGAACATAAATAAAGTAATTGTTTGACTCAGTCTGTGCTGGTGTTGGTTAAAGTCTAAAATGAACATAGTCAAGGGTCAAAAGCAAATGAGTAGTTGCCTTTAGTCAGTGAAGTGTATGATACTGAATGAGCAGTATATGAGTTAAAGTACCCTGATTAAATAATTTAGCTAGTTACAGATATGACAGAAATGCAATTCATTTGCTGTATTTGAGCTATGAATATTGGCTTGTGTGCTTATTTGGGGAGGGTGTGCATTTGAAATGCCAACAAAAGCATCAGGTAGTAACTAATATGTGACCCTGGACCACAAAACCAGTCATAAGGGTCAATTTTTCGAAATTGAGATTTATACATCATCTGAAAGCTGAATAAATAAGCTTTCCATTGATGTATGGTTTGTTAGGACAATATTTGGACAAGATACAGCAATCTGGAAAATCTGGAATCTGAAGGTGCAAAAAAATCAAAAGATTGAGAAAATCACCTTTAAAGTTGTCCAAATTAAGTTCTTAGCAATGCATATTACTAATCAACAATTAAGTTTTAATATATTTACAGTAGGACATTTACAAAATATCTTCACAGAACATGATCTTTACTTAATATCCTAATGATTTTTGGCATAAAAGAAAAATCAATAATTTTGACCCATACAATGTATTTTTAGCTATTGCTACAAATATACCCCAGCGACTTAAGACTGGTTTTGTGCTCCAGGGTTACATATTACTGTTTTTGCTGTACAATATAGTACATTTTTGTATTAATATTATTGTACTGTTAAAATTAAGTATTAACAACAACATTAAGATTACAGTGCAAATATTTATGGCTGTCTTCATTTATTTGCTTTGAAACGTTCAACCATAGAGCTTTTATTCTGGTGGGAAAGCACATTGCAAATTTGGGAGGAATGTTGACTTGTGTTATGTTTTCACATGCACAGCACTCGCAAAGATCAAGTTTGCGTGGAGCAAAATAAGCTAACAACTTTAACAAGGATTCATTTAGATGTAATTTATACAGTGACTTTGCATTATTTTACATTTGATTAGTGAATTTCAATGACCTGGTTTTTCAATTTCCTGTTAGACCTACTTGGAAAAGTCTCTTGATTGATGAAATTGGCACGACTTATTTTCTGAAAATGTACTCACCCTCAGGCCATCCAAGATGTACCGTAAATTAGTTTATTTTTATCAAAACATAAATTTACTGTAGCATTCTATCACTTGCCCTCCAATGGATACTCTGCAGTGAATGGGTGCCGTCGGAATGAGAGTCCAAACAGCTGATCAAAACGGCACAATAATCTACAAGCTGCATGTTTGTAATAAATCCATCAAGTCAGTTGATCTTAAGCTGCTGATTCCTTTATTCGTAATATTGCGTTCTCCAGTCATCTTTTCTGAATCAGGAGAGAAATAAGCACAGCTCAAGAACCTTTTACAAGAAACAATCTAAATGCTTGTAAACAAATGGCTGTAGATTTTGATGTGCGGAGACGACGGGGCATGGACTTTTTCACTAAAAAAAGTAAAGTACAAGCAGTACTTAAATGGGTCTAGATGTGTCCAAATGTAGACCCTTGGTAGAAAAAGTGACGTGACGTGGCCAAGTATGGTTACACATACTAGGAATTAGTGCTCTGCATTTAACCCATCCTTAGTGCGCACACACACACTGTGAACACACACCTGGAGCAGTGGGCGCCCGGGGAGCAGTTGGGGGTTCGGGCACCTCAGTCGTGGTATTGAAGGTGGAAGAGAGTGCTGTACATTCACTCCCCCCACCTACAATCCCTGCCGGACCTGAGACTCGAACCCGCAACCTTTGGGTATTTTAAGAGTTTCGTAAACGTTGAAACATACCATGACCAAGATATTTTGGACTAAATACAAGCAATCTTTACATTGCATCTAAATTAATATTCTAGCAGGTGTAAAGTCTAGCACATAGCTAAAATATGCCAGCTGGTGCGACTGAATTTAGTTAAAGTCACTCACAAATCACAATAATGAAATGTTATTTACTTGACAGTCAGGTCACTTGTGTTAAATACAATGTTTGTTCAGTTTTATTAAAATTAATCATTTAATTCCAAGCCGTCATCCAAAGGTACTGGTGGGAAATCCGTTTTCTTTTCACGGACAGATGAGGCCGCCAGACATCTTTTGGTTTCTGTCCCGAATCCTGTTTACACAGAAACATCCAACCGGAAGCCTTGGATGTCAGTGTGTTTATTCTCATTCAGGCAAGAAACAAAATGAATAAATCACTAATCCCGCTAATGTGCCACTGTGATTGTGTCTGTGTTACTGAGAATTAGTTACTGCACTACTATAGGAGATTATATTTACATAGCATTGCCTTTTATTTGAATAGGAAAAAATAGCATATTTGCAATCAAATTACAAATCAGCTAGATATAAATACAGCAGAAATGTGACAACAGTGTTTGAGCTGTGCATAGTTTGTAATCAACATAATCAAAATGCATTGTTCATCTGTTTTCATTGTCCAGTCCTGTGAACAGCTAGAGAAAAACCTGGTAAAACTAAGTTTTTCAACAAATAAGATTGATTCACAAATTATTTTAATGTTATTTTTCTGTATTAAAACTCCCTTAATACATACACCAGCTTACATATTTTCATCTTATTTGTATCCATTTTTCTCTGTAAGTTTATAGAGCTTAATAGTAAGTTTATTATAGATTTAATTATAAATATAGTAAACCATAAATTAGTATCTCAATGTGAGTGTTTTAGTTTAGGGAAATGATAAACCAAGAATAACTATATTTAGTTTTATATAATACTTTGAAATGTATAGTTTTATAACGGTGAATCAATCAGTCAAAATGTGTTTTCTCACATTGACATGAACTGTGAGACAGATTTCTATGAGTTATAACAATCTCATTTATATGGTAACAAAATAAATATTGTTTATACATGGACTTTAAACCCAGTGCTTGGTTTAAAAAGAAAATTCATATATAAATGTAACATTAAAATGGATTTCTAAAACATTTTCTATGCCTTCATATATATATATATATATATATATATATATATATATGTATATATATATGTATATA